AAATGGCAACAGAATTGTCGAGATCTGACTGGGCAACTCAGTGAATGGTAAGGGAGTAACATCAACATGGCGGACGCACGTTAGCTTTGAAAAGCGAAAGCAGGTTATCAAGTAGTAACGGACGTTTAAGAATATTGATGCGGTTCAGAGACTATAGATGTGAGTATGGGACTGATCTACCTTCGAGGTTACATTTACGAGTCTACGAGACAATTTGAGGTTCAAGAAACATTGCTTGTGTGCAGAAAGGCTAATCAGGGCCGTCTTGTACGGATACAAGTGATGAATTCTCAGTTACTATGCCAGAACTGTTTCAGCGTGCGTCACAAAAGTCTTCAATGCCAGGGTTATGTGAGAGATATGTAAGTGCTAGTAGCATGCTACGCATTCTGAAGAAAGACAGGTTACGTGTGTACTTTCAAGAGTGGTGCAACAGCTAAATGAAGACGACTCAGATCGCAGGGTACAACTTTGTGAAAGGGTTCAGGAGATCGGTACACGAGAACCAGGATTTGTAGATTGTATTGTGTGTGGATGAAGCATAATTAAAACTTGGAAGAACTGTCAGTAAGCACAACTTGAACATAATCCCACACTATTGTTGAAAATACTGTGAATTTGTCTCCCAGGGCAGCGTTTCTCAACCTTTTTTTTTTTTTTTTTTACTTGCATACCGCTTGACCTATCATCCCTGCTCCATATACCGAAGCCAACCCCATTATGTATAATTGCTAACATCTACAGGCATACGTACAGTAATAATGCTATAATTCATAGACATTTTTATTTTTACTAGTAATGCGAAAGGGTGCACATTATTAAATTTTGAAATATGAGCGCATTAATGGGAACCTTGAGGCTGTTTGGCAGCACTCAGTAATTTAAAATCCCGATCAGAAAAGGACAAATACTGCCTCAAGTCTGAACTTATGTTACATCTGTTCCTGTACTTATTTTTTTTGTAGACGACCTTCTTCACTAATGCTGTACGAGAAACTCTTCTTCACAAACAATGCTTGTGAACGGTAGCAGAATTGTAATATTCTTGTTGAATAGTTCAGGATATTCTTTCTTCCAGTCAGTCCAGAATGAGATGAGGGGTTTCTTTTCAAATTGCACGTTAAGTGATAAATCCGTTTTCAGTTCAACCAACTTTTTCCTAGAGTGATAAAGATGTACATTGGAAATAATTTTCACTGAAAAGGAACGCAATCCAATGGTAATCTTTTTTATGTTTGGAAATATATTTTTCGAAAGCTACCTTCAGTCCATTTAGGTATTGTATGATTTTCTTCTTAATTTCTTGAGATACGTGAAGATCCGTTTCAGAGAGAAAATTGTGTAATGTTTCAAAACCTTTGGGTTAATTGTTCTCAATACATAGCTTCCAAAATTCTATTTTTTTTTTTTTTTTTTTTTTTTTTTTTTTTTTTTTTTTTTTCCAAAATTCTATTTTGTCAGTAACTTGGAAAGTAGTTACTGCGCAGTTCTGAAGGAGCACGTAGAACTGGTTTAATTTTTGAAAGATATCGGACATATATGCAACGCTTTGAAGCATTCATGACAATCTAATTTAAATGTAAGTCGAAAAGGGTGATTCTCAAAAAACACTTCATGTCTAAGCTCAAACTGGTAAGAACTTTACCCCAAGACAGCTATCAAACCTCAGTATGAAAGAATAGGGTTTTGAAAATGTCCCCTTTCTTGTCACCATGATGAGAATAGCCTTGAATTCGTGTGGTGGTATCTGATGAAATTGACAACTTTTATAGAATCATCCAAAACCTCTTTCAGAGCAGTAGGAAGGGACTTCGATGCGGCTTGACGATGGATGCAACAAGGTGTCCGCTTTACCAGGAGAGCTATTGCTTTGATACATTCGTGGAAACCAAAGTAACAACCTGTCGTCAGTACTTAATCCACAGCATTCCGATCACTTTATTACCTTTTTAGTAAAGTAGGAATCAGTGTCATAAAATATATCAGTACCTGTCGTAAGTTCAGAACGAAGCTGACAAAGCAAAAGTTATTCTATAAATTAATTTTTTTTCTAATGCCTTACAATAACTATCAAAACAAGAAATTGTGCTACATTAGTACTGTCAATAACTTGAATGGAAAATATTTAATGGTGTTAGTGATTTCTTTTATCATCGTCTCCTCTATATCATCAGAATTCCCTTGATTCTACGAGAGACTATATCATTGGAGAGGGGGACAGCAATAATTTTGTAAACATATTACGGGACACATAGAAAAAACTTCATCATTAATGCTGGGCAAAATCAGCTTTTCCGAAATTTCTACCATGGCGATATACTAGTATCTGATGCGATAAGAGGCGTCAACAACATTTTCATTACTACAAGCAGAAGATTGGTACGTTAAAGATATTGTTTTTACTTTTATTTTTGAGCAAACATTTAATTAAAAGTCAAACTTTTGTCTCTGAAATCTGAGTGTTTAGTTTACAGATGACGAGTAAGTATTGACAGCTTCATACCGCTGTTTGAAAGTACTTCTCTTCAAACAACACATTCAGGTCTAGGATTATGAATGAAATTCCATATGACAAGGATTCTTCATTATGAGTGAAAAATCCATATATATTCTTCACAATATTTTATCACTTTTCCCGACTGCAAAACTGGAACTGAAAGTTTCATTTCATTAATATGCGACTTCTCCTTAGGTTGCTCCTCGCAAGAACTGGTACTCAATGATGGAATGGGATCATTACTAATTCAGTAATTTTTCTTTTCTTAATGTCGCCAAATTTTTAACCATTGATCCGTGCTGGAAAAAATACAACTCGCAATAATTACTAAAGTATTGTATTATTCATTTTGAAAGCATGCTACGAATGGATTAAAACTAATATTGTGATGATAAAATTTGAGAGACAGACAAAGCATTGTTGCCAACCTTATTAAGATGTACTGTACATCAGTTCGACCATAGAGTACTAGATGGTGGTGCAAGTAGTTTCTCAAATTATAATTTTGTGAAAATATTTTAGAGTAGGCTATATGTTATTATAATTTGTAAATATTCTGAGTTTGCATATTGATAATATAGAATTATAGTGCAATGCATGTGCTATATCCATTCCGAAATTTGATCGAACATGAAGTTTTAAATATCGTACAAATAGTATATTTATAATATGGTTGGCAACACTGAGACAAAGAAATGGACAAATTACAACTAACCGACGGCTAACTCTGGGATCTTCGCAGAAATAAATGTAATTGCAGAACACAATGTCGAACTGCTGTCCTGCTTTGTATAAGCAAAATATTTAATATATCTGTTATTGTCAAGTGTCAGCTAGTAGTCTTATACCTCTCGACAGATACTGATCCTGCCTGTAAAATATGTACCTAAACTGAATTTAAAACATTCATATCTTTGTGAATTAAAATTTCAGTTTAATTATTTTCATAATGAAATATAATTTTGGTTTGAAATGCCAGTTTTTACAACAGCTTTTTTTCTTTTCTGTTATATTCAGTCTATTTATCAAGGTTAAGTTTCTATTAAGAACGTTAATTTGTCAATTTTACTATCGGAAATACAGTTATCAGGGTTTTCCACGTACTCACTGAGACTATTTCACGTACCCTCTGTAGGCACACGTACCACAGGTTCAGAAATGCTGTCCTAGAGGATTCACTGGACCTTTCCGTTTCGAAGGTTCCGTTTGAAGAAATACAGTAATTACAATACTTGCTGATTCTATTTTCCCTGCCATTTGTGTAGCGCGCACTATCAGAGAGATGTGCGAGTATACCTGGATTAAAGTGTACCAGGCCAGTGGATAGGACGAAGGGGACCAATCGATTTTCGAGTACGCCCGTGAAACTACACTGCTCGATTTTTTTCTTGTAGGGCAGGGTAAAAGTTGGGTGTCCAGATACCGTCGTAAACCATGCAAGCTAAACACACTTTGGGATGAGTTTCAAGCTGTATGCGCAGAAATCCCTTTGGACACTTTTGGTGCGAAATACGAAATCACTCGTGAGCATTTGTTTTAAATATCATTTTAAGCATTCACTCTGTCCAGAGTCGCCCAGACGGTATAGTGGTTAGGGGAGCCTACTACGGTATTGAAGGGCCCGGTTTCGAATTCCGGAGAAGACATGGGTGTCTGTCGGTGCGGCATGGCGGTACTCTAAATATGCGTTGAGCCGAAAGTTCTCTCTTGTGGATTGGTGGGAGAAGAGAGGGGTGGGAAAACTCTCGGACCTACCCCCCCCGGAGTGCTCTTCCTCAAAATTGGGGGTAGAAATTAGAAGTTCAACCTCTCTTCGGAGTAGGCTGTGGCAACCATTGTTCCATGTAATGCGGACAAGACAACAGCCAAGAACTCTGACCAGAAAGTACACTTATTTTTCAAATTAGATTTTAGTCTTACTTTTCGATAAATTTAACCTTGTATGTTAGAAAATAAATTTTCTGCGTCACAGATAAATCAGAAATGAAGCTTTGTGTGTTTAAAATTGCCTTCTTTCTTAATTTGTAATTAAGAATTTTTATCAGGACAATTATGTGCTGATTAAGTGAAACGCATTATTTCATGACTTCTTTTGACATAGATAACAATCATTTAATACTCTTTTTCCAGTATTTACGTCATTTCCTTGTGGTAAAAAGTGATTTTCAAACATTTTAATATTAATACGTCCAAGGAATATTTTAATTTCCGGGAATAAAAAGCCAATTAAGCATGTGGAATCTCCCGGAAGGGAGCGACAAAGGTTCTGTTAAGAATGTTAATTTGTCAATTTTACTATCGGAAATCCAGTTATCAGTGTTTGAAAAACATCCTGTCATGATCGTGGAATGAAAATTCACTTTTCTGCCTAAAATGTCTTGATTATGACTTGACAAAGTTTCATTTCATAGTCCTTAAAAGTAATGCTTAAGACGCGAAAAAGAAAGAAAAAAATTATATCAGTTTCAGAGTTATAGATGTAAGTGATTTTATTTGTTTTCAGGTGAGAGTAAGAAAAACGCTGAAAGGCAGGAGAAAATGCGCCAATTACTGTGGGAGACGTCACCTGAGCTCAGAGATCTTCGTCTAAAGTTTCTAATGGCTGATGTAGCTAAAGACCAGGCCATGCAGATAGCAGAAAAACAAGCTTTACTGGAATTGAAACAGAAAGAAATACAAGCGGAAGCTGAAGCTATTTCTCGTGAGAAAAAGAAAATGGAAGAAGAACTAAAGGAGCAGCAAGCACTAGAATTTCGGGCTCGACAGAAGTACCATAGAGAATTGGCAGAACAGCAGAATTATAAAGCTGCAAAAGAGACAGTAGGCGAAGAACAACAAAGGAGAGAAAGATCTGCTATTGATGAAATAAAAAAGAAAATCGAGGAAGAGGATTTTATAAATGCTAAAAAGAAAATTGAGGTAATTTTTATTTTTATTTATTTATTAGTCCAAAGGGGCTTTGTCCCTGAAGGACTATTGTTTTCGTTTTGCGATTTTGCGTCGGACTCCTATAAACGTCGGTTCACTTTTCAAACTGTTGCCACAAAATGTTAGAGTCCTGCATTATATTTGAAGAAATTAAATAATGAAAAATCTGCATAAATGATTGTCTATTTCTCGCATTGTGATAAAACAATGGTACATAGAACCATCGAATTTTGAATGACGAAATCCTACTGCGAATATGGGCATCTGAAATCCCAAATTTGGAATTTGTTTTATTATAGATTTTATATTTTGTAAAACTTTAAACGAATTTTTGATTTACAAACTCAATGCTTTAAAAGCGAGAAATGGCAACGTTATATTAAAAAAAAAATACTTTTATCTCCAGCTCGCGAGACTGTGGTATATCGGAAATTCTAAAGATATGCTTAATTTTAACATTATTTTGCGATATTGCTCTTGAACTGAATTTTATGGTTTAAGTGCAAAGAACATGATATTTAATAAATAAAGGTAACACTCAAAACGTTAAAAAAAACGCCCCTTTGGACGTAATTTAAAATCTGAAAAATTTCAGTTTTTTTTTTTTTTTTTTTTTTTTTTTTTTTTTTTTTTTTTAATTTTTAGTTCAAAGGGGCTTAGTCCCTGAAGGACTATTGTTTTCGTTTTGCAATTTTGCGTTGAATCACTATAAACGGCAAATCACTTTTCAAACTGTTGCCACCAAATGTTAGAGTCCTGCATTATATTTGAAGAAATTAAATAATGAAAAACACTGCATTAATTGTATGTATATTTCTTGCATTGTCATAAAGCAACGGTACCTAGAGCTATCAAACTTTGAACTTTGACGTAATCCTTCTACGAATATGGGCATCTGAAAGCCCAAATTTGAAATTTGGAATTTGTTTTATTATCGATTTCATATTTTGTAAAACTTTAACGAATATTTGAGTAACAAACTCAACGATTTAAAAGCGAGCAACGGCAACACTCCACGGGAGAGAAAAAACTTTTTATCTCCAGCGCGCGGAACTGTGTATCGGAAATTCTAAAGATATGCTCATTTTAAGATTATTTTGTTACATTGCTATTGAACTGAATTTTATAGTTTAAGTGCAAAGAACATGACATTTAATAAGTAAAGGTAACACACAAAACGTTGAAAAACGCCCCTTTGGACGTAATTTAAAATCTGAAAAATTTCAGATTTTTATTTTTATTTTTTTTTTTAATGAAGGGAGAATGTCTCTATAACTCAAAAAAATATATTTTCTAGCAAAACCGAAAAGAAAAGCTGACTATTCTAAAAAATAAAATTATCATATATGAGTGTGTATAAGTGTATAATTGTTGCAAATATTTCAAAAGATTACTTCGTAAGTTGTTTTAAATATTTGACAAGAAAGTCTTTGTAGATGTCTTCTCACAAGCATATAGCTTTTGGGTAGGGCATTAAAAAATTATTTCCTATCTTAACAACAGTAATTTAGAATATCTGTGTAATTTTTAGATGGTAAATTAACAGTGATTATCACTTATATATCTGTGGATTAATATTTAATATATCTGTGGATTAATAATTTAAAATTAATCTATCAATATTGATAGATTAATTTTTATTTTTATAATTATTTATAATTTTTATAGCTAACTGAACTATTAAAGGAAAATCTGAATATGCGTTTTGTAGCAAATTTTATTATTTTACATTGATATAAACATTATTTTTTATGAATGGAAAATGTATTTTTATGTTCTGTATACTGGAATAAAAAATAATTCTTTATTAAATTCGAGTTCAATAAAAATAAAGAGAGGATACTGTGTTAATTTTAGGGCCTACGTCAATAAAAATTAAGTTCATTGATTCATTGAGCCAGAATGGGATGTGAGCATTTGTAAATAAAGAAGAAAATTTCACAATTTAATTTTGTCGCGAAAAAAAAGAGCTTACTGTTCTTTGTTTTACGGATCGATGTGCACTGTCACGTGATGAGGAGAAGTCATCTGATAGGGTCTTGCATACTTCTTGAATTGCTAAAGCAAAATACAAGAAAGTTCAAACTAAGGGAAAATTAAGCTATGTACGATATTTACATTATTTAAAAATTACGGCAGTAAAAATACTTCTAATTTAAATCTCTTCCGATTAAAATATGATGAACGAAAAAAATAAAATTCCTCTCTTGGTTCGTAATAAATATGCATTTGTCTTATAGAAAAAAGGCAATCCTATGATCTGATTTTTCAATTATTCTGATAGGCAGTGTTTCTAGTTAGTCCAAACACTTGGAGTTTTGATCCAAAAACTATACATGCAGAAGTTAAAATCCTGAAAAACTTAGGTTATCGTCGGGAATGAAAGATCCCTACTGTAGGTTTGCATCTGAGATGATTTGATGCATCTGTTAGAGGCTTAATGGCTTTGTCAGTATTTTTCTGTATATGTACACACACATTTCTTTTTCCTCCTCATTTTTAATTAAAATGCCTTAATAAGAATAACTGTAACTAATCAAATATCATTTTATGTTATTCGTTTTTCTTTCTCTGAACTTAAATCAATGCACGTTGCATTAACGTAGTCTTTACAAGAGGCTAAGAAGAATAGTTCCACATGATTAAATCCCTCATTGATTTAACTGGGGAAAAAATTGAGATTTGATTAAAACATAAGGATTTTCATTCATTCTTCAAGTTAACATGATTTAAGATAATCATATTGCAGCTAAAACTTCACTTTTTTTAATTCAGGAAACGCCAATTTGAAATTCATAATTATGAAGCATAGTTATCCATAATTATAAAGCATAGACATAATAGTATAAAATCCACACAGAAGTATCCACTAATTATTAAAAGCTTTAGTTATCAAGTATATAGTTGCATTTATGGTACTGAAATGTAAATTAATACTTACGTTGCCTGATAATGGATAGTTTATGTTATTTATTGTGTCCTCTTTTCGAAACATTAAGGCCTGTCATGTCTGAGAAGTTCTTGTTACATGTAAATATATTATTTAACCATATTCTATTGCTTCATTCAGTTTTTTTTAAATTAAGGCACAGAAGGAATTACATCGGCAAGCGTTGGAGTTACAAAATGTCCGCAAAGAAATGCAACGATTAGAAAAGTTGAAAGAAGGCACTGAAGATATGAAGATTGATGAATATCGTAAAGCTCAAGAATTGAGAGCCAAAGAAATAGAAGAGAAGAAACAGTTAACTACCAACCAGCGGTTACAGTTGCAAGAAGAGCTACTCTCACATCTTGAGGAAATGTATGCTGAGAAATCTCGCCAAGAACTTCTTCGGACCGAGCTTGCTATCGAAGAGAAAGAAGCTTATGAGAGAGAGAAAGCTGAAGATTCAGAAAGAGCGAAAGCTGATTTGAGAGAACAGTTTGCTCAATTACATAAAATACAGCTGTATATAAAGAAACAAAAGGAAGGTATGCCATTCCACACAGTTAACCTTCTAAAAATTTTGTTCACTTTATAATGGGCACTTCAAGGTCTTTTCGACCCTCCCCATTTGCAGACGTAACACATCGTCATCAGCGCACAACGCTTATTTTCTTACCTTAATATGAGACTGTAGTTCATCTTTTGATGAAGCGTAAAAATAAATAAAACCAGTAGAGGATTCGACCGTCTTCCATAGCTGTCAGTACCATAATTACGAGGAAACAGGGCGAAAAGGAGAATAATGCCTATTCTAAAGTAACAGACCTCTGTGGTATTCCCGATAATTTTTCATGTCCTTAGTATGTTTCATGTCCTTAGTATGTCCTTAGCCCATGCTTGTTGGAGCATGGGGAGTAAGGAAATGAACAGCAATTTCGGTTACCTAGTTGTGTTTATTTTTACTATTTCCTCCCTTACAATAATTTTGTTATTCATCTGTAATAATTATTATAAATGAATAACAAATTACCTTCATGCACCCTCCCCTCTGCGATATTCAACAAATTTTACCTTCAGAAAATCAAAAGGAGAATGTGAAGTTGTGTGCTACTATGATAAAAGTATCGAAAACGATTCATTCAGAATACGTGTGCGTAAGAAATCGTTTGAAAAGTTTTTCAGAAGTTATTACAATTTTTCATCGGCATCTTGTAACAGTCCGTATTTCGATTCCTTTTATCGTTTGCAAATGAATTCGTTTTTAATGAAAAAAATATTTTTGTTATAGTGATTTCTCAAACTGGCCAATATAGTTGAGTAATGAACATTGAAACACCTTTGAGGACAGTATCACATTTTTTTTTTTTTTTTTTTTTTTTTTTTTTTTTTTTTTTTGTTTTTAATATTTTATAGGATATTTAGGGAAGTTAGAAAATGCGGCTCAGATGAATCGCGTTGAGGTAGGCAATCTGTTTCAACTATAGTCTGCTATTTCAGAGTAGATATTTCAAGGGCATTTTCTCTCCCCTGACTTGCCTCATAACCGGCGTAACGGCAGCTGCAAAAGATTGTGGAATTCTCCAGTTTGCTAAAATCCCCTAATCCCCTTAGTGTGTTAATAACGACACATATTAGTAATGCACATGACGGGAAGATCAGTAAGACCTTGAAGCACTGATTTTAAAATAATAGATTGTAATGGGGAACATGCCGATCAAGTCAGACAAACGTCATTTAATAGTTATGGATAATATTGGACAAGTTGCTAAATTATCTGGATACGATTTTGAAGATCATTGGGCTCCTGGTGCTTCGCTTTTTGAGGTGTTCCAAAAACAACAATACATTCAAATGGCCCGAGAAAAGTTTTTTCAAGCCTGAATTCTTAAATACATTAGTACGATTATGGCACATGAGTCTATGCTTTTGATATAAAAATAGTATAACAATCAAAAATAGCGCTTGAAAGGTGAAGCAAAACAAAACGAAAAAAATAATATCAGATCGGTTAAAAACAAAAGGTAATACTATTTTCTTCGACTGCTATATTGTATGCATCATGAACTTCTACCAGCTGCTTAAACTTTAAAAAAAAAAAAAAAAAAAAAAAAAAAAAAAAAAATTATTTTAGTATTTTGCAGCGTTTGTGTGAAGCGGTTCATAGAAAACAATCTGAATAATGGAAGTGCTAAAATTGATCACATTCATGAATTTTCGCTAAAAACTCAACAAATATGCTTCACAAATTCTAGATTCATCTGATATGAGACCATATAGTTTTTTTCTCATTTCCACAGTTTTTAAAGACTGTCACTTCTTGCTTTAAGTCTATTAATGGAGTAAAGAAACTCGCTAGGATTCATGACAGTTTTTATGAAAAGGAATTTATAACAGATTTCGAGGGTTAGAAGAACCGTTGGCATAGGTGCATTGCAATTAAAGGGTATTACTTTAAAAGAGGATATAATAAATATTCACCAACAGAGTCGGGACAAGGGTGAGGCAAGTGAGGCTCTTGCCTCAGGTGAATCACTAGTAGAGTTGTTGCCAAAAAAGCTATACGAATTTGAAAATTACTTTAATCCAGTTTTTAAATTTATCAGTTAGTATTAGGGGTAATAAGCTTCGGCCGATTTAAATTAATAAACCAATAGGAAGAATTGCAAGAAAACCTGGAACTAAATGCAATGTCTATTTCGATGTTATTTCTTATTTATCACAAAAAGAGTTTTTAACATTTTCATTTGAAAGTTGTAAATAATTGACTTATTTTGCTGAATTTATAAAGCTACGATTAAAAATACTTTAAGAATTATGGTATAATTATGCAATAAGAATTATGATGTTTTGATTTAATACAGTTACTTTTGTTTAATATAAATATAGCTATTTTGGTTAGACTAATAGCTATTTATTTTAATTGTACATTTGCCTAACTAGGCTTTCTTGTGTAGTTGTATTACATTTACAATTTAAATTACAACTCGTGAATAGCCTTTTAGCTATTTTATTTTTAATTGTACCTTTGCATAACTTGACTTTCTTGTAAAGTTTTTATTGTTTAATAGTAAGTTTACGTTTTCAATTTAAGTTATGGCGCGTAGGGAAAAGAGCGATATAATTGAGACTTTAAAAATATTTTTTATAGTGATTTCTTTAAAAAAAATTTTATTCAAAAATTTATTCAAAAAATTTTTAGATAATTAAGTTGGAATATTTTATTAGTGAAATTAAGTTTATAGTCTCAATTATTGTCGTTTGACGAAACGCGTTATAAGTATTAACTTGATTCGAGTTTTGAACTGCTTTCCCTTTGACAAATCCGGCTCAAACCTCGAGTTGAGCTTTTTACCATTTGTTGCAATTTTTTGTACATATTTACTGTGTTTTGGAAATATATTTAATTTTTACAAGAGTCTTTTTTAAAATTGTGCGTTAAAATTTATTAATTTTTTTCTCACCCGTTTTGATTTTGATTATGAAGTCATCTCGATTTGTAATCTTAACATTTAGCTTTTATGAAATAGCTTTACTAGTTTATTGTTATTTCTAGTTGTTGCATGATTTTACATTTTTGCAAAGGAACTATAGAATCAAATGTATTTTTTAGCATAAGCTTTTAAACATGCCTATTACTTCTAAATTATATATATATGAGTGTGTGTGTGTGTAAAGCGGCGCGCATTTATCTTTTTACTTCAGATGAAAAAATATCTTGGCACGGCTCTGTTGAATGTATCTCATGGAATAACTCATACTTTTTTTTCTTATCACAGTAATATAATAACATTTGTGAAAATAATTGTTTAAGTACCCGACGAATTTTTTGCTTTTTAATGAGTACGTAACTCATTAAAAAGCACTTAAACTCATCAATAGGTATACTAAAAATTTTTATTCTGTTCTTACGAATGTTGTACGTATGTAAATAATTTTAATAAAATGATGTATGAAATTTTAGTGTTTAATTTGTGTAATGTAGCATAAAAATTCTCAAGAAGCGAAGCTGTGTCGAAAAGTAAGAATACAGGGGCAGGTCTATTTAACATTGAGTAAATGGCTATCTTGCTAAATTGAGGAGATATTTATTGCCAATTGGCGACTAATCTTTGTCATCAAATTTGACTTTCTAGTCAAATTTGATGACAAAGGTTGGCGCAAAGTCGCCAACCTTGGCGACCATTTGCCCATCTTTTGGTCCGGTCCCAGTGTAACTATAATGGGTATTATAACTGAATAAATGTTATTAATCATAATATGCAAGTGTAACTGTATTCGGCATCCTAGTTTTAACTTTAGCCGTATCTGCCTTCCAGTAATTTCGAGAAATGGAATTTACTAGAGATTTCTCGGCAGTCGGGTGAAAACTATATAAGACCGGATAGAGTAATCTGCTCTAATTTGTTGCTAGTTCAAAGCTGAATTCGGAGTGTTGAGATATCCGTGTTAGCTTCGCTCTTTAGATGCGCTTTGCATTGTTTTGAGTTTAACGTTCTTAGTTGTTTAAAGTGTAACCACTGATTACACTCTGTATTACTCTGAATAGCTGTACGATTTTTATGGAAAGTGCCAGAACTGTTAAGTGTTTCTTTTGGTAAAATAAATTTTATCAAGCTATCATCGGGTATTGTGTGTTCAATTTATTACGAACCCCTACGCACGCAACACTGTATTTCAAAGAATGCCGGTTAAATTAAAGTTATTGGTTTCAAAAGCATTATATTTACTTACAAGATGTATTTTTCTAGATCGATACTTTATACCATAATTGTACTACAATTATTCCGAAGTTTTTTATATCATATGCTGAAACAAAAAGTCCCGTCACTGATATCCGAAATATTAGAAATAGCTTGTAGTTCCTTGATGGCTTCTCTAAATAAAAAGCACATTTTTAAAGCAATTTTCAACTGCGTTTTGGGAGACTGCTTGCCATATGTGGACTATAATATGCCTCTAGCAAAGATATCGAATTAGTTATTTCTTTTGAAGTGCTTGCACCTTTCACATTTAATTCAATTTTTTTTTCAATTTTTTTTTATCTTTTTTTGAATGACCCCTTTTCTGTAATGACATTTGAAAGTTTTTGTACCTCAGTCTAAAGACTGAATGACAGAAGTCGTATATGCAGTGAAAAATACTAATCTAATGTTAATCTGATGCTGATCCCCCAGCATGATATCAGGAGGTTATGAAGCAACAGTAGAACTATTTTTTCGTTTTTCAATTCTCTGTCTCAGTTCAAAAAGAAGCCAGTAAAAGTACAGCTTCTCATTTATTAATTCTTGTTTTTATGCTAAGTTAAAGGTAAATTCTTGACTCCTTTTAAACATCGAAGTTTTCTTATTTTCCAGTAACCACTGGGGTAAACGCAAATAAACACTAAACATGGAGCAATAAATTCCTTCATGAAAATTAAAAATGTGGCACTGAGAGCCGCCATGTAATACTGGTGGTCCAAAATCATTGAAACTGCAAAAGCTTCTGTTGGATGTCAACAAAACTAACTTTTCCAACATTCTGAGTTAATGCGCTTAATTTTTTAGAGGAGAGGGAGTTCGGATTTGAAAGGTTCGGGTCATGGAAAAGTTCAAAGATTCGAGGTTTTGAATCTCGAATCTTTTTCAAAATTCACGAGGTTCAAGGATTTGAATATTCCATTTTTAGTATTAAATGCTCACAAGTATGCTTTTTTATAGAACAACAGAAAAAGGAAGATGAATTATTCAGAGAGAATTTGATGGCAAGGCTGTATGAAGAGGAAAAATTAGAGTTTATGTCCCAACAGAAAAGACGGCAGAAGCAACTTGAGCATAGACGTTTGGCACAGGTTTGTATAAGACTTATAAATTTTGATATTTTGAAGTGCGATTACTCTTTGACTGATAATAATTCAATTGGAGCGAAGAGGTTTCTGTAAAGAATATATTAAAACAGCTGTCTTATAAAATTATTGAATTTTAAATAATCCCATAAAACAAAATGCTAAAAAAATATTCACAAATTTTGAATTGATATTATTAGCTGAACTAAAAGTGTTTTAGTGTCTTTATGTTTATGGCTAGGCTGACTGTCCGTTCGCTGACACTGAGTATGGCAGCAACGTCTTAAACTGCGTCATCATCTTGTTCACCGCATTCGGAAAAGGCTGGTAAATGTGTGTTTAGTCTTTGCAACGCCACCAAAACTGATGATTTCGCGCAATGTTTGGAAGCTTATATCTAGCGAGCTAATCTACCGAATGGCTTGCAAATCATTTGCTTAATTTGTATGTGTACACTCCCACAGAAGTTTGCAGGGCAATGCATTTATATTTCATGATGTGACATTTTCTCTGTCAGGCAGTGTATGTAGTTTTTACAAAAGGGACATGCGACATGCGACGGGGGACGTGGGCACCACCCCTTTACCGTCGGTTAATTGGTGTAGCGCCACGTCCACCAATATCTAGAGTTGAACCTTGAGTCTTTCAAAAGAGCAATTACATGGCCATACAAGGGCTGTTAATATTTAGTATTACATTCTTGTTTGCTGGTTAACATATTCTATGGATAACGTGATTTACAGAGTTACATACTGACTTTGTCTCTCATTTCCGGCATACAAAATGAGAGACAAAGTCAGTATGTAACTCTGTAAATCACGTTATCCATAGAATATGTTAACCAGCAAACAAGAATGTAATACTAAATATTAACAGCCCTTGTATGGCCATGTAATTGCTCTTTTGAAAGACTCAAGGTTCAACTCTAGATATTGGTGGACGTGGCGCTACACCAATTAACCGACGGTAAAGGGGTGGTGCCTACGTCCCCCGTCGCATGTCCCATGTCCCTTTTGTAAAAACTACATACACTGCCTGACAGAGAAAATGTCACATCATGAAATATAAATGCATTGCCCTGCAAACTTCTGTGGGAGTGTACACATACAAATTAAGCAAATGATTTGCAAGCCATTCAGTAGATTAGCTCGCTAGATATAAAGCTTACAAAAGGGACAACGGTTTGTGGTTAAACAGTGTAGCAAAATTGTTGGCAAATAAATTATAGTATTCGGTACCAGTTTTTGAATGTTAAAAGGCCGACTTGACGCTGTTGTCTTTTCATTTATTACCTGAAACATGTCTAAATGATAAAAAGACTTAAATTAGTGGTAGAGTAGTATTTCGACAAAACGGGTTAGTGATTTTTAAGAAAGAATGTAGTGAATTATCTGAATGCGAATCGTTAAATTCTTATGTATAAACGTAGAGTCTTGAACAGATGCTGAACCTATCAATATTTTCCTAAAGAGCGATATCGCCTGTCAATCCTGTAAAATAAAGGTGAGAGCTATAAACGAAGCTAACCAGACAACAATCGCCGCAAAATTTAAGGGAAGATTAAGCATATGAACAACGCAATAAGTTCATGCCATTTCAAAATCGCCTGCAACAAACAGAATCGGACGTAATAAAGTGGCATGTGGGCCCGATTTGCAGCTGCGGGCTGACAAACATAATGTAGTATTTGGTTATTTACGAGAATTAATGTAGGTACGAGATCATGGTGCAATAAAGCGCATTCCTGACATGTATGTCCGTCATACGATAATGACTATATTGTTTGAATAATGTGGTACTGCAATGTCCAACTGCTAGCAAGTAGTGAAGTATAAATATATTGTACTATTTAGCCAAATAACTTGCAGTCCTCCTGCGTTAATATACATATTATTAACTAGGGAATACCCAACAGACAAGACACGGTTCTAAGGTACATTGACAACGCTTTGTGTGAAGCTGTTTACCCTTGTAACGAATTGAAGTAAATTGTCACGGCTTCCTAGACTCGTAGTATGACGGAACACAAAGTTGCACAAATTCCCCCTCCCCAATACTTGTATCTAATTCCAGAAGGCAGTTAACAGGGAACTCGCAATGTACTATGGCCATTTAAAAAATGAGCCAAAGAAGCGAGTATCATAATTTTAAATTTATATATTCCACATATACCGCACCATCTCAAATGCCTCTTCCATTCGAAACATAAATTTTACTGCATATGACATTTGTAAACTCTCCAACCTGTAAGCCATCATTACGTACTTTTGGAATTATCACGTATAGAGGAGCTTTAAGTAGCTTTTCTTCAAAATTTCCGATACTAATTTTGTACGAAAAGTTTCAAGGCGCCACAGTTCGCTCCTCAAACTGTTGCGCATACTTATTCGGGACATTTTACGAGGCTGAAGAAAAAGTATCGCCTACAGCTCTGTTTTGCTTGGGACAGGAAGGAGAGAATATATACTTCTGGGAGCTCTTAAAGTAGGCCGACTAATCAGATTTGCTCAAAGCGAAGGTTCCAGGAAATTTTTCTTTCAACGCGCAGTTCAGGATAGCTAGCAAGTCTGAGAGCGGTTTTAATTGAGCACGTTAACAGTAATCTGACAGAGAACATTAGAAGGGTGTAAAAGATCATTTTATTATAACTCCGTAATTTAACAGAAGGCTTACAAAACTAGCCAGCATTTATGGTGTAACTCAAGAGTAATAAATTCAAGTTAAAGCTAAGTCGTAACTGCAAAGGCTACACAGAATGAATAATGCGCAAGTTGGCTCAACCTCAGATGGCAAGAATAAAGCAACGCCGCAGACAGACTGCAATCGAAGAGATTCAACTAGTAACGTGGTCTTCAGCAGGCGGAACACGCTCTGATTCAATAATCTAAAACCTTAAGTGCTATCTCTTTCTACCTTGTTTGAATATGCGCAAACTAAAATTTGCATTTTGTCAGGAAAACGGAAAAGGAGAATGAAAGTAACCTTATTTAACATAAAATAACTGATTAAAAAAAAAATAAATCCTTACATGTTAAGGAATGATTTCCGAAACATGGTATTGAACTTCTTTGCATGTTGTCATATGAACACAGTCACGTAATATGAATCTAATTGAGCATCTTTGGTTTTAATTGAAAGAGCTTCGAAACGAAAAACAGGTGATATTTATTAAGAGGCTTTTAATGCTTTGGTTTGTTACTGTCTATTTGTGTCATTTAGCTAGTGTTTATGAAGCAATTATTTTAATTTGTGTAATATGAATTATAAATTTATTCTTATATTTTTAATAAATTGAGCATTAAAATATCTAAAACTTTTTTGCTTTTTTCTTAAAATATTCTTTGTTTTTTATTCTTATCTTTCAGAAAATGATTGAAGAAAAGAATAAAAGAAAAGCCATGGAACGGGCAAGAGAAATGGCTGATCTGGAATATCACAAAGAAATAGAATTTGAAAGAAGAAAAATGGTAGAAGAAGAAAGGGCAAGATTTCTTAAAGACCATGCCAAGGAATTACTAGGTTACCTTCCCAAAGGCGTTTTTAAAAATGATGAAGAATTAGAACGTCTAGGTGAAGAATTTAGACAATTTTACTCGAGAAAAAGTTGCAGTTACTGAAACTGTTACTTAATCAAGTAGCTCATGTGATTTGAAATTTCATACTTTAACCATAATCATTTGAAAATTTTATTTCAATAGTGTGACATTTTACATATCATAAATTTTTAAATCATATTTTTCGTTTTTGTGCTGTTCGATTCATTCCCTTAAATTGTTTTAATTCTAACTTTAATGTTCATCTTATATATAAATTAATAATTACTCGAAAACTGAACATTGGGTTATTTTATTAAACGTGTGATAGAAAATAAGATTTGTTTTAAATTTCTTTTGAGAATTAATTTTTCACTAGGATTATGAAGGGAATTTCGTAATTACTATTAGGACGTGAAGAGTAGTGGCGTCATTGTAATTCAACAATCCGTTTACAATTTAGATGCTACACGCGTCTTCGCCTTTCCACTCTTTTTGGATTGTCACACTACACGCAATTTTAGCTTTATAACCAAAGAAAAATATTGATTCAGAATTATTAGTACCACAAAACAGTGAACAGTTAAAATCATACGAATGCATTAAATGACCAGTAATAAAAATTACATAAAGTGCATGATAAGGAAACAAAAAATTGTCTTAAAAGCATATTAATAAATAAATAAATATTCAATAACGCAAAAACCGATGAACAACAAAATATGTAGAAATAATAAATATGTAGAACAAATATTTTCATAAATTATAACATTTGCTTCAGTGTTTCAATTATGTATATGTATTTCCTTTTCCGCTTAACTTTCATAGTAACTACAGTCAAAAGTCGTTAATTCGGACACCCATAATCCGGAATGATCTATAATCCGGACCTCAAAGCTAAAAACTTTCTGCGCATGCGCCGCGTTGGCACGTGCGCACAGGCGTTTTACGCGTGCGCGTAATACCTTGACTACTGTGCATACGCGTGTGCGCAAGTGCAGAATACGTTTTCGCCTGCGCGTTTAATGTATAACGGACGGTGTATGCTAAAATTATCTAATTATCTATTTCAGTTAATGTTAATGACTGCATTGTTCCTTAATCTTCGAATTGGATCCCGCTTATTATTTTTTGCAGACTGTAAGAGCAATTTTATAAAAGTAAACTTTCGATTATGTCAAATAGAATTTCCGATGCTGGAACTTCCAAAGGATCTAGAAAACGAAAGTATGGTTCGATGTCCAACAAACAAAAAGTGGAATTGCTGCAAAAAATGGATAAAGACATGAAGAATGTGACAGAGAGGTTAGTGAAAACGAAAAAATTTCGATTGACAAGTTAGTCGGTATTCTCGGCACAGCAATTAACGGGACTTGAACAGGGGAACTTTGTAAGTGAACAAGAAATTATGTCTGTTTATAGAATTAAAGAGAAAGTATTATCACATAAAACGAAGCAACTTAAACGACTTACATTGAAAGAAATGTTTAATAAAGTAAACAAATAAATATTAAGCTTTTTTTTTTTTTTTTTTTTTTAATCCCTTAAAACTCTTTATAAAATATCGCTGGCAAATATTTTAACTGGTAGCGTCATATGTAAAAAAAAAGTAAAAAAAAATTGCAGTGAAGGGGCATAATAACATAATTGACATAATTGCATAAACATAATTGACAGTTAAAGTGTAGACCATTGATGTTAACTGCTAAGCATCCATTTTAAATGTAACCCGACTGAGAGAAACAGCGTAAAATGTATTCCTCATGGAAAATTAATTTTCCTGATTTTTAATGCTGTCCAGCTTAATTTATCGTTTCTAATATTTCATTTCTCAAGATATTGATTATTTTCATTCACTCAGCCTGAAATGTGTATGATCAATAGAAAATTATGCTGCAATGTTTATTCCCTTGTACGAAGTAAAGGAAGTATCGTAATCGCGAAAAATTTCGGGTGTCATAGTTCAACTGAAATATCTATTTTGACCACTCCCGAATTCATTTGGACGATTTTTTGTGTGAATTTTGTACTTACGAATAGAATAAAGGACTCTCCCCCCCAAGACGGATTGTAAAAAATGGATTCAAGACGGATTTTTTTCGTGACGACTGTTTGCACCTCAAAAAAATGATTAGCTGTAGACAGTTGAAATTTTTATATAGAACTATATAACATCTAATTGTGCACCTCGTTTTTACTTCCTTGTGCGAAGTAAAGGAAATACTGTAATCGCCAAATATTTCGCGTATCATAGTTCAACGAAAATATCCATTTTACCCGCTCTCGAATCCATTTTGAAGATGTTTTTGCATGACAGCTTCACGTACGGACAGAATAAAGGACTCTTTTTTCCGAAACGGATTGTAAAATGAATTCAGAATTTAGTTTTTTCATGACATTTGTACGTACGTGTGTATGTGTCTCGCATAACTCAATTAGCCGTAGAACGTTGAAATTTTGTATATGGGAGTGCTATATAACACGTAGTTGTGCATCTCTCTTTTTCATCGCAACGGCCACACCAAACATATAAATATAAAATATAAAATATCTATCTTTCAAATAATACATTAATAAACCATTTAACTTCTGCCTCCATTCTAAAAATAACAGAGCAGTAATTTTTCTATACGCACTTATCGATGAAATATGAATCCAACATCTGGACATTAATCTGTCATGTGATTTGAAATGGAATTCGGTATAAAAAATTAATTGCTTCGCACTTCCCTTACCTTCTGCTTGTAGACACTTGTGTCACTTTTCCTCTAGCTACGCAGAGTTTGCATTTCTAAATTCGTCCATTGCTAAAAAAATGTAAGCTATACAAAATTGGGGGGTGCATAACGCACCCACAATGTGTGATGATGTGCATTATCAAGAAAAGCTCAGATTTTTATTCTAATGTAAAATCATCAACAATTTAAAGTTGTTTAAGTGGTATTAAGCCTAATGAAGTCGCCATTTGTTTACACTTAAAACTCTTACTGTGTTGGATGTCCAGCCATGGGTTCCTGGACCGAAGCCTTATCCCAGATTAATAAATATGAATAGCCTAATGTATAGGTATCATATCTGTAGGTGTAAATAGTAGTTCAGATAATAAATTAAATCCAAAGTCGTGGGAGTGGTAAGGCGAATAATGTCCATCGGGAGAAAAAGTGGAATCGAGGAACAAAATACTCAGTAGTGGCTCACTTGAGAGTCAGAGTTGGAAAACTGGTGATTGACTGAAAAAGAGGTTAGCACCAAACAAAAGAAAAACTCACTGGCTTTATTAGTAAAATAAGTAATAAAAAGGGGTGGTCAAAACAGCAGTAAAAATAATAAAAATGAGCAGATATATACAAGTAATAAGAGGAATAAAATACAAGCAGGCCAGCAATAAACATTCATAAGTACGGCTCCTGGCCATCTTCGATTATCCACATTAAGTGAGTCATAATTCAATACAGGTATAGAAATATTCTAAACAAGTACGATATTGTTGAAAAATGTTTTGGCAATTTTTGCAATGAATTGAGCAATTGGTTTAACACAGAGTTCCTCGTTAATTTTAGTATTTCTGTAGAACCAGTGAGCTCGAGAAATCTGTCTCAGAGACGCGTTTTTGATTAACTTGAAGCTTGTTTAAAGTAATTTTACAAAAAAATTTTCAGATGGGACAGGAGGAAGTAACAATGGGGCGAACATTGTCTTATAGATAAGTAATTTGTTATCGGAAGAAAGAACAGGAGTTCCGGCGAATTAGGGGGTAGTGAGTAGCTTTGCACTTCAGAAACTTGGAGATTGTGTGTAATGCAGGACTTCCATGTTAATCGTTAGTCTAAAATGAGCCCAAGATAGGTTACTTCCATACCCCAAGGGATAACAGTATTATACACACTGATGTTGACAATGATGGTCTGTCGATATGTGAATATCAATGCTACAGTTTTATTCACATTAATTTTGATCTTCTATTTTTAAGCCATGAATCTTACGTATTGTTACGAAATGCCCAAGCGCGGTAAGATGGCTTCCCCGCAAAGCAGTTTTATGGTTGCCATAAAATGACAAGGAAAGACAGGGTTGCAACATTTGGCGAGAAATCGCCCATTTGGCGACAAGATTGGCGATATGCCATGGATTGATGGAAAAACTTCTGGAACGAATTCTTACCGGTGTAGCCAGAATGTTCTCGAACACAAGCCGAAAGCTGTATAAACCATGCTGGTCCACAGTCAGTTAGTATCGACAGTGTGCCTCGTCGAGTACGAGATAGTTAGTATCGAGTTGGTGTCTTGTCTAGCGAGTCAATCCCTGCGGAGTCGATCGAGTGGGTCGTCGAGTGCACCGAAAGAGTCTCGTAGTGTATCGCGGTTGATGCATCATCGAGAGAACGTGTTGAGCTCCGGGAACGACTGAACCGAAGAGTCGGGAACTGTGCTCTGTGTGTCGTCGAGTGCATCGCAAGTTGTAGCGTGGAGAGGCTCGAGAGTACGTGGAGTTCCCAGAACAACCAAACAGAGTCTTTAGCTGTACTCTGGTGCTTTGCAGTGAAGCTGTCTCCACCGTGATAGATGATAACCTAGAGGGTGTGTCGCTGATCGTGTCAGCGTGTGTATAATAGATCTTCGACGACTGTAAAACATGACTTTGGAGCTGTCCTGATTAATATTGGCTAAATAAAGTGTGTTTCGATACTTCATCAAGTGTCGTCGTTATTCATTCCAAATCTACGAACCCCGTACGAACGTGAAGGAAGAAAACGTAGCAACTGGTGTCAGAAAAAAAGAAAAGCATAACAGTATGTATGTAGCTGTGTACTGTATGTGTAACTGAAAACAGAGATGCATTTCGTGTGAGAATCGCTGTGTCGTTCGCGTATATGGCGAGTGTAGTTTTGGTAAAGCGGGGTAAAGTAAGAAATTATTGAGCCAATTAATGATCCTTGTGGTATACCAGCATTAATTAGCCGGCTTATGGAATATGCATGATTTAGGCGAACGACAAAATGCCTGTCTGTAAGATAGGACTTAATCATGTGTATGATATAGGCTGGGAAACCCAGGTAGATAAGTTTGTAGGCGATTTCCTCTAGCCAAAGACGTTCTAAAGCCTTTGAGATATCGAGAAAGAGTCCACTACAGTTGATTCGTGGATGTTCTTATTTGTGTATATACCTTAATAAGCTTAAAAATCTTTGAAAATATTGAAGATGTTTGAAATACAACTATGCGACATTTTGTTGTTTACGGTTTTAACAAATGGTGAACTGAATTATTCTATCCAATTATCTATCCAGTTCAGAAGTATTTTAAATGACGAAATAATTCATAGTGCCGCAATG